GTATGTATGTATGTATGTATGTATGTATGTATGTATGTATGGTATGTATGCATGTTTAGTTGGAGTATGTACAAGGCAACCTCCACCATTAATTGCCTAGGTGAGAATACTGTGATAATCACCATACCTGGTTTCCCATTGGCATCTGGACAGTATGTCTTTGAAGCCATTATTTTATCTATTCACATCTCTGCAAAGTCATGACAGGATACCAAGATGGAAACTGGAAACCAAGATCTCCCTTATTAAACCAGTGAAATGCCCAGAGGATGATACCAGTGGGACAATACATAGGCGTTTTTTCCAGGGTTCTCTTCAAAAATTTAAGTCAGCAGTGAATACAGGAATAGACTCATCATTACAAGATTATAATGATCAAAATAAGACAGAAACCCAGTGGTGAGAAAAGATAGCATTTTTTTTACTATTCCATTAAAGAACTGTATATAAGTTATAAATGAACACACGAATTCACAGTACTTTTAATGTATTTACCTGAAATATGGCTTCAGTGTGATTTTGGATGATGTAAATTTAAAAATTCTCTTTTGAAAATGAAAGTAAGGAACTGATTCATTTATTCATAATTGAAGCTCAAAGGAAGGAAGCAATTTTCAGACATCTCCCTGGTTTTGGTTCTCAGTGTTTCCTCACCCATAGCATCTTCCCAACCCTAAGATAATTTTCATGTATTAAGGAAACAGGTTGTAGTGTGATGTACTGATTAAAATGTTGGAATAGCATCAGGGAGACTAAGGTTTAAATTCATCAATCAGATAGCTCTTCAGTGTTAAGTATCTGGATTATGCCCATCTGGAACAACCTCAGTAGCGAAATGGGATATTACTACAATACTCACAAGATAATATAAAGTCCCTGTATAATGTTTAGATTCACCACACTGAGAATAGTGTGGCCCATTAGCTGGACCTTAGAAGTGTTACTAAATCAAATTGTTAGTCCATATCCTTAAGCAACATAGACAAGAAAACTCAGTTTTTTGTTAATGTGCACAAACTCACACGGATCCCTCATTCAACAAATAGTCTTTCAGTGTGGTCCATTAAATATTAGTCATTGCCCTACAATTTGTTCGCTCGTTGCTGGACAATCCTTTGAAGCCATTATCAGCATAATAACATTATTAATGTAAAGATGATTCTTGCAAATCATGAACTCTGTACTGGATCATTTAACTGTGAATCAAATTCCCTTTTACCAAACTCAAATCAATACTCCAAATCTTGGTTTAACAAACTCTAAGCCTTAGCCAAGGCCATGGTAATTCCAATTTACCAAAATACCCAATTCTGTAATGATTCTTCCTTCTGAGAAATATTTACTCATCAAGGCAGTGGTGGGTTCCTAACAGGTTTACTACCAGTCCGCTGAGAGGGCGTTTTGCATGCACAGAAACATGCCGGCGACAGCAGAAGAGACCGGGAACTGGTTCGGGGGCTTGGCAGGCCTGGGTT